ACGGTGCATAGAGTGGCAGGCCTGAAGTCAGGAAGACTCATCTTCCTGAGTTCAAATCTGGTCTCAGATACTTACTAGCTGTGTGACCTTGGGCAAGTCACTTAACTAACCCTGTTTGTCTCAGTTTCCTCATCTGTAAAATAAGCTGGAGAAGGAAATGACAATTCACTCCAGTATCTTTGGCAAGAAAACTCCAAAATGGGGTCACAAAGTCAGACATGACTAAAAAATGCCCCAAAACAGGGGCAGCTAGATGGTGCAGTGGATGGAGCACCAGCCGTAGAGTCAGGAGGACCTGAGTTCAAATTCAGCCTCAAGACACATGATACTCACTAGCTATGTGACCCTGAGCAAGTTACTTAACCACAATTGCCTTGCAAGAACAAACAAAACCCAGGAATTCAACAGAAATTAATTGTCTTGCATCTATTTCATTTATATTTAGAGAGGTACATGTTGTCTATTGTAAGCTCCTTGAGGGCAGGGACATTTTTGTTTTTAGAACTTAATACAATACTTGATTCTAACTAAAAACTTGTTGGTAAATTGATTAATCAGGTGAAGACTGAGAGGGAAAAGGTAAAGTGGGGGAGGTGGGAGAGGTATTTCCACCATGTTGAAGCAGAAAGAATAGTGGAATTGTACTGTCAGAAGGACCTGGGTTCAAATCTGGTCTCTGCAATTCACCACCTGTGTGACCTGGAGAATATGGTTGAACATTTTGGTCCCAGTTTCCCGCTCTATAAAATATGGGCATTGGACTAGCGGACCTCTAAGGCTCATTCCACTTCTAGCTCCTTTGACTTGCTAGTTGGACATAGGAAACAACATGAGTAATGGTTAAGAGGCAGAGAAAGCAGATGGCATGAATGTCGGGTTAGGTAGACAGTCCAATCATTTGTTTCATGGATCAGCATCTATGTTGTGCTTTCCGCCCTTTCCTGTCCTCACATTTATGCCCATCAGTGAACTGTGCTTTCTTGGCAGATCTTCTTATAATTTGCTCCAGGCAGAATGTCTACATCTAGCATGGCATAGAGGAAAAAGCCCATGATGCACAGTCAGAGGACTTAGATTCATACCCCAGCTCTGCCACTTGGTGATCCTGGACACCTTACTTCCCCTCCCTGGACCTCAGTTTCCTTCTCTAAAACTGAGGGCAGGATGATTTCTTCAGCCCTTCAAAATCTTATGATTCCACAATCCATTTCAGGAGCCACACACAGCCTGGGCTTGCCTTTTGAAAGTGTAATTCTGTCCACACAGCTACTGATAACTATTGTTCACTCCCTCACAATATCTAGGCTGTTTACTCACTAATATCTAAGTGATCTCCCATCCTAAACAGCCAGCTCAGCTGGCTTGAATCATTCCAGGATGAATCCAGGGCTTGTGGCCTGATAATCACTTCCACAAATGAATCAGGAAGGAGGGGGAGGCTGATTACAGTGAAGAAAGAGTCTATTTAAGCACATGCTTGGTAATAAGCATGTCGAAGAAAGGAAACACAGAAAAATGACAAAGGATTTTACTGGATTCTGAGATGAACAAAACATATTCATCACTCCCAACCCCAAACGAAGAGGATTAGGAAAGACAGGGATGGAAAGAAGTTCTGTTGGGGTTTTCCCAAAGTGATGTTATCAGTTGCAAAGCCCAATAAACAAACATTTACATGATGGAGGTACTTTAAGTAACCAGGGAGAAAGCCACATTATGTGGGCAGCTTGAAGCATGGATTATAACAGGACTTTATGAACCAAAGCAAGACAGCTCGAATGTGCCTCTAGGTGTTCAAACTTACTGAGTCACCACCCAGTTTCCAGGGGCTTTGGCCAGAATCTTGCAAAGTGGGAAAATTAAGTAGGACAAGACATTCCAAACAATTAAAAACCCAGAATGATACCGAGGTTTAAGGAGAAATGGTCTCTTCACCCTAAATCATCTTTTGTGATTTCATCTCTCTCCCTTTATTCTGAAAGCTCGGAAAGAGAGATAATGGCATGTGACTTGTTTATCAATTGCCTCCCCTGAGCTAGCTGTTTTGTGTTTGCCTAAATGAAGTGTTAGCAAACGGCCTTGTTAAGGAACCATAAGGGACAGAAAGGAAGGAAAAATATGTCCCCTGACTGATCAGTAACAGTTTTAAGACCCATCAGATAAATATTTTTTAAAAAGAAAGATTTCTTGGGATTTTTCTCAAGTATAGATAAATGGCAAGATAAAAGTATTTCAGATTGTTATAAGCAGGATATAAAAATAATAGAGTAGCTTAGTGGAAACAATAGACCTTGGAGTCAGGAGACTAGGGTTGAAATCCTCACTACAGCACTTTGGATCTGTGTCACATATGTGAGCCTTAGCTTCCTCATTTATCAAATGGGAATCACCCTGGAGTATGCAGCTCACAGGCTTATTTCTAGGAAAGTGCTATGTAAATATGAATTATTACTCTTTTATTAATATGTGATATAACAAGTAATTATTACTATTACAACCAACTGTTGATTACCCAAACTAAGGAAGAACATTTGCCAAGATAACACAAAACTTGAAATAACTGGAAAAGTAGAGATTGAATACTGACTGAAGCAGACTTATGAAGTAATCATTTTTTCTTTCCCTTTTGATGACTGCTGTCTTTTTAGTTTCTTATTTACCTCAAGAAAAAATGACTTCTTGACTAACAAAAAAACACCCAAGCTACTTTTACCATGAATGAAAGGATAAGGGCGCTAGCTCACTGTTTTGACGTCGTTGCTACTTCCTCCCTTTGCCCTTTTTCTCTCTGACGCCGAAAGTGCCTCACTCAGCTGCAGCCAATTCTTGCCCTGAGAGCAGCCAACATTCTTCCTTCCGTTGTGTGAGTGAGCTCCAAAGAATCAAAGCATTGTCAATCCTGCTTTCCAACCAGTGAGATAGCGATGAGAGCTTAAAGGGTCAGAGGGAGAGCTGAACAAATTCCGAAGGTTTTCCTTCATCCCTATGCTCCTCGAACCGGGAGAGAAAATCAGCCAACAGGCGATTTGTACAAATTCAAGGAAGCAGGGCACAGTCTACCTAGGAAGTGTGTGGGTGGGGAAGTGCCCCCCACCCTAGCCCAGATGTAATCCACAAATCAGATTATTAAAAGGACTATTTTGAAAAGTCAATAAAGCAGGAAAAACGCCCCAAAGAGTTAATGGGGTTTAAATCGCCATCTGAAAAGAATTGTAAAACGTCTCATCAATGCAAGAAGCTTGGAATACTCTCCTTCCATTCCTCCAGCTAACCAAATTCAACCCATCCTTGAAGACTGACCTCAAATCCCACTTCCTCTGTGAAAGCTTCCTTGGTGAGGCACGCAATGCACATTGTAATGATTATATAGAGTGACTTTAGTACTTTATCACATGCTGTATCATTCCTTGATGGCGATGTTCAAGTCAGGACCTTACCTTAAACTTCTCTCTCTCTCTCTCTCTCTCTCTCTCTCTCTCTCTCTCTCTCTCTCTCTCTCTCTCTCTCTCTCTCTCTCTCTCTCTAGCTCTCTCTCTCTGTCTCTCTCTCTCTCTCTCTCTCTCTCTCTCTCTCTCTCTAGCTCTCCTCTCTCTCTCTCTCTCTCTCTCTCTCTCTCTCTCTCTCTCTCTCTCTCCCCTCTCTTTCCCCCTCTCCCCTCACTACACACACACACACACACACACACACACACACAGAGTTTTAACACATTGCTGGGCACAAAGTAACCATATAGAAGCAAAAGGTGGTACCGCTGACAGGGAGAGACCTTAAAGATCTTTTCTCTATTCTATTTCTATTCTATATCTATTCTACAGAAGAAACCCAGGCCTGAAGGGGGGGGGGAGTGGTGGGTGTTAATTTTCTACGGATCACTTAGTAAGTTATATAGCCAGGCATAGCCTCGGCTAGAGTAAAGAGGAGTTCTAACTTAGACCCAGTACCAAAGGACCCTGGCCAAGGCTAGATCCCCTACGTATTTTGCAAAAATTGTGTCTTTTGTTTCATTTCACGCAGCAAAAAGGGACCTTTTAGGGATCATCTGATCCACCTTCCATTTTACAGATAGGGAGACTGAAGCACAGAAAAGCGACAGCACAAGAAAGGGAACCCAGGTCTCCTGGCTGCAGGGCTTTTGCCCCTTCAATAGTACGCATTTTTAAACGAGATCTTAAAGGAGTGAGGAGGGACAGCGCAAGAACCAGAAGCTGGTAAATAGTGGACAAAATAGGAATAACTACGTACTAGCTGTGTGACTACTCCTCTCTGAGCCTCAGTTTCCTCATCTGTAATGCTAAGGAATTAGATGGTCTCTAAGGTGCTTTCCCAGTCTTAACTTTCCTCCAGCTTTCTTTGTGGCCAGCTGCGCAGGTGAAAGAGCCGAACGGCAGCTGTCCGCCTCACTACTGCCGCCTAGAGCCCAGAGGCCGCCAGGGGAAGCTTTGCTCGGGCACTAGGGCAGGCGGAGCAGTCCAGGCTGCCTATCCTGGCCACTGCGCTTTGAGAAAGCCCGCCGTAGCCGTTGGCGTCCCGGGCTGCCGGGAGCCGGAGCCTCCGGGGCTTATCCTCTGTTAAAACAGCTGCTGCTGCTGTTGCAGCAGCAGCTTATGCCCAGGCTGCAGCACTTCCTACTCCTCCAGTTCATACATACAGACCAGTGCGCTGGTGGCCCTTCTCCCGTCTAAGTGTCTCTGGTGTTGCCCTGTTTCCCTGTGTCCTTCTCAGTGTCTTTCCCCCTCTTTGTTTCTGTCTCTCCCTTTCACCTGGGGATCCATGCCGCAGGTAGCCAGCCCCTAAGCGCTCGGACTGGAAGAACGCTCAGTCCCCTCCCCTACCTCCCGCTGACCCATCCCCTGCTGGGCTTCCAGTACGCACCCGGGTGCGCCCAGCTGCTGCTGCGTGCCGCACCTCTGGCCGCAGCCGCCCCGAGATTCCCTCCCACCCCACTCCCACGCCTTCTGTGCGGCCCCCCCCCCGCTCCTCCACCTTCTCCTTCCTCTCCTCTTTCTCCTACTCGCTCAGCCCGCAGTCCCCACCCCCTGTGCCCTCCGGGGGGCACCCCCCAGGCGGTGGGAGGGTGGTCAGCCGTGCCCAGGTCGCCAAGTGGCGGAGAGGTGACGGTAACCGCCTTCCTATTTCCGCTCAGCCGGGTGGTGGGGTGTATGTGTGTGCGCGTGTGTGTCAGAGAGAGCGAGAGCTAGGAGAGACACGGAGAGAGAAAGAGAGCACAGAGAGAGAGGAGTTTCTGCCTCGCTCACTCCTTCTCCCACACACGGGAGCCTTGGAGCAGGGCCTGTCCTCCCGCCCCACTTACTTCCCCCCTCTCCCCCCGCACCGAGCCGCGTCTCAGTCACTTGAGCGCAGCAGGTTGGGGCAGGAGGCTCTAGCGCCTGCCGCCTGCCTGGAAAATGGTTACTCCGGCGGGGGAGCTTGCACTGATCGGGCTAGGTAAGTGCCTTACTTCCTCTCCTTTTCTCTCCCCTGTCCCCTTCTTTCTTTCTCACTCACCTCCCTCCCTCGGCCCCTTCCTCTTTCTCCCATTGCGGGGGTGTGGTAAGAGAAGCTGCAAATACCAAGAGTCGGCCACTTAGGGAGGCGGTGGGCAAGGGAGACCGAGGGTAAGGAGGCAGCCCGCTCCCGGGGGCTGACGTTTCTGCCCTCATTTCCAAAGACAGGCTGCATCGCAGACCCCCCTGTCCACCCACTTCTCCAGGGATGACCCCCTGAAAGGGCTTCTGCAGACCCAGTTGAAAGCTGCCACTGAAGAGGAGGTGGTTTCTAAGGGGTTTAACTTTAAATCTGTGTGCGGGCATCTTTGAATATGCTCACACACACCGACCTACACACCTCCCTCCTTCCCTCTCCTTCTCCCTGGAAGACTGCGTCTTCCCTCCCCTCTTCCCCCGCCGCTCCCGCAAGTGTAGGTAACCAACTGTATGTTGACTCTTTTAATGAACCAAGATAGGGTGCCCTGAACTGGGATCCTGCTGCTAAGGCGGTGGAGACTAGCCCTGGGTTGGGAGGCTAGATTTGGAGCCCAGCTCAGATACTCCCTATTTGTGTGACCTTGGATAAATCCCTTCCCCTTTTGGGGGTTCAGTTTCCCTATCTGTAAGAGAAAATTAGACGAAATGGTCTGCAGGGCCCTCTTCCAGTTCTAGATCCTGAGCAGGTGACATTTTTGCCCCACCCCCACCCGCTTCGTTCTCAGGTAAACTTTTCCCTCCTCCAAGAACTTTAAGAGTCGTAATTGCCTCTGTTTTCGATCTTTTCGTCTCATGCTTTTCATTTGATCTTTCATTTTTGAGACCTCGGAATTTGTGGTGTTTGTAGATCTTTTTCTGCAGATGAGTTTCCTTGGGGAAAAGATTGGTTTGGTGGCGGAACAATGGAGAGGAATGAAACTCTAGAAGGAGCCTGGCTAATTTCCTTTGAGTTTGTTCTTGGAAATAAGCAGGGGGTGGGGTGGGAGTGAGGCGGGGGGCGCCGGGAGAGGAGGAGAAGTTTAAACCCTTCAATTTTAGGAGTTAGGCTGCTGAGAGGTTTTTTGTTTGTTTGTTTGTTTTGTTTTGTTTTTGTTTCTATCTTTCATTGATCTGGTTCTCAAGTCCGTCTCTGGCGATAAGGTATCTGGATAGCAGGGACTGACCGAGAAGTACTGCTCGTTTACTTCTATCCTTTAAAAATACACATATATTCAATTAACTCATTTATTAAGCTTTTGAGGCCATCCAGACCTTTTCACTTTCATTTTACAAATGAGGAAACTAAGGCTCAAATCACTACATTAAGAATATGGGAGAACTTCAAAATTCAGTTAAGACCTGGCCCCTGTTCTCTTGGAGCTCATAGTCTAGTAAACAGATAAGACACCAATAAAGGGTTGTAATACACAATATTGCATGATGCTTGTATTAGATACAAAAGGAACAGACAAGCAAGAGAAGGGGTAAGGGAAGGGTATCTCGGGAGAAGGTGACATCTGACTTAGGCATTTAGAGTGTGGCTAAGAATTCAAAAGGAGCAGTGGGTCCTTTAGAGCTAGAGGTGACTTTAGGGGTTATCTAGTGCAAATCCCTCATTTTACAGCCGAGGAAACTGAGGTCCAGAGAAGTTATGACTCACCTGAGGTCACACAAGTAGTAAATTAGAGTCAGAATCTGAATCTAGGGCCTCTGACTCTAATGGGAGGGAAAGGCATTACATACATAGGGAGGAGCATGGATGTAGAAGAACACAATGCATGTTGGGGGGCAAAGAGAGTTGTCAGGTTTGACTTAAGCATAGAGTTTGTGAAGAGTAGTAAGTCATATAAGAAAAGCTAGAAAAGAGCTTTGCCAGATTGTTAAGGGCATTGGGGTGTGAATTTTGCTTTGTAGACAGTAGGGAATTACTGAAGAAGACTGTGGGGTAGGGAAGTAATGTAACCAAGTCTGAAGGTCAGAAAGATCACTTCTCTAGTGGGATAAAAGATGGTTGGCAGCAGGGAGAGGAGTGACTTTTCCAGTAGGCCAGAAGGAGTGATGAGGACCTGTAATAGGATGGTGACAGTAGCAATGGGGGGGGGTGCATAACCAGAAATGCCAAAAGTTGTTAACAAGCAATGATCTTACATACACAAGAATAAATTGTAGAGGAACTGTTTCTTCTGGGTTTGGAAACAATTAACCTTATAGAGGCACTGATGATTTTAATTGAAAATACTCCACTGAACAGAAGTTTAATGCTGATAAGGCCCTACTCTGGGCAGTGAGGATACAAAAGTTAAAAAAAAATTCCACAGTCTCTGTCCTGGGGTTTACAGTTTATAAAGTTTCACAGGAAAAGAATCTTTAGTTGGAGATCGTAGGTGTAAAAAGTCACCTGGATTCTGGGAGCTGAGAATTCTGTATGTGTCTTGTCTATCTCCAAGGCTCTATTGAAAGGAATGCTCTTTGGGGATTCACCTTACTGCAGGTTTTTATATTGGATTCTAAGAGTCTCAAGGTGATCTTAGAATCTCCAGTAAAAATGTAGATGAGGAATGAAAAAGCTGGGTAATTAATTTACTTTATCATCCACCTTCCAGTGGAAAAGGACCATACAGTTCTTGTTCAGTCCCCTCATTTTACAGATGAACAAACTGGGACTCTGAGAAGGGGAAGTGATTTTGGCAGGGGCATACTTCTATCCCTACCGTGGACACTGTGTGCTTCATATGTTCACACTTATGTATATTTCTTTCTCTTTCGGCCTGTTACAGAATCTTTCTTCAGGTTCATCTTTTTGGCTCCCCCCCCCCCTTCTATTTATGAATGAAAAAAAATAGTGCTCCATCAACACACACACACACACACACACACACACACACACACACACACACACACACAGACCCATTTCTAAAAGAACCAAATTAAAAGGCAGATGGAGAGAGTAAGGAGAAAAGGAAGGAGTGGTTTGCACTAGTGACAAATCTTTCATTTATCTTTTTAAAAACATTTGGAGCAATTAGCTGCACCAGCTAACCCCTTACCTAATTATGGCTGGAGAAGGGAGACCCCTTCCCCACCTTTAAGGAGAAAGCATTCTAGGACTGGGATTTTCAGAAATGTGATTAGTTTTCTCTGATGCCATGAACAAAAAACCAAATGTTTCTTTCTTCTAGCCTGTGGTTAACTGGAAGGGTTTCTTTCATCTGCAAATTTTAAAACCTTCTATGTCTTTCTTGCCCATGGCTGTGCTTAAATTAGTCCTGGGGGATGTCTGAGAGAATGGGATAATGTTCCATTCCTGGCAAGTTTCTGTCTAAGTAAAACTGGGACCTCCCATCCCCCAAGGCAGGGGAAGGGAATCATCATTTTAGAAGCTGGGCTTTATGCCCCCTTTCAGGTACTTTTTCTCATCTGTAAAATGATGTATTGGGACTAGGTGGACCCTAAAATCCATCCCTTCGAGCTCTAAGACTTATGATCCATCTTTGGAGGGTAAGCATCAGTGAAGAAGCTGTTGGAATTGTGTTAAACCTGAGTGTCCTAAATGACCATGCTGGGAAACTGTATACAGTTAACTGTGGTGGTATCTATGCCACTTCAGCCTTACTGTCCTTGACAGACCAACATAAATGTATCTAGCCCTTAGAGACCTGTACCTTTTTCTGTGTCAAAGGAGCACATTATATTAATGAGTAATTGAACTTCATATGATTTTAGATGTCAGGGCAAGTATCCTGATATAACCTTAACCTCTCAGAAAGTCCTTTTTAAAACTTAAAGATTTCTTTTGTTAAAAAATTGTTATTTCTCAAGAGTAAAAAATACAGTCTACTTCTATAAAAACTAAAGTGGAGAAACAGATGAAAAGAATAATGAAAAAGAAGATATGATCCAACCTTGCCTAGATAGAGGTTGAATGCCCTTTTCCTTCCAAGTGGAAAAATATGGCAGCCTCACATTCAATGTATGATGATGCTTCCCCAGTGATGTCCAGTTAATATCCATGTCTCACATAATTCCTCCTCTGATGCCATTTTCATACCATTCGGGTATTCTATCCAGTGAATATTGTTCCATGTCTCCAATGACTCCTCTGATGCCTTGTTTTGTTTTGTTTTGTTGATTTTTGGTGAGGCATTTGGGGATAGATGATTTGCCCAGGGTCACATAGCTAGTAAAGTTTCAAGTGTCTGAGTCCAGATTTGAACTCAGGTCCTCCTGACTCCAAGGCCAGAGCTCCATCTACTGCACCACTTAGCTGCCCCTCTCTGATGCCATTTTCATGGCATGGAGGTGACCCCATATTCTTGATACTGTGCCTGAGACAAACAAGTCCTATGGAAATATAGAGGCGGATAGTGTGCTCTTGGCCGGTGGACTGTGCCTGCAGTCTCTGAGGGGCAGCCTATCATTGTATAGAGAGTGTTAATTTCCAGCAGGGTAGTCTCTTAGACTGCCATAGTCTGGAGACTTTGAGTCCTTCCCTTACATCTTACTGATTTCTTTAATTTTTGTTGTCACATAGGGTTTGATAGCTCTTACTTCCATCAGTCAATAAACAAGTATTTATTAAGGCCGGGGGAAATGGGCAGTAATAGATATAAGGCTGCAGAGAGTTAATAATCTAGTTGAAGAGACAAGGCTAATACACGTGGAATAAGTAACGAACAATGAAAAGTAAGTAAATGACCAAGTAACACATTTCATAGCATTGACGGTGACTACCCATGTAGTTCAGGTTAGGGACAGATTGATGTGATCTGTTATACAGCCTCAGAGAAGATGGAGGACTTGAGTGATGGGCCTTGAATCATAAATAAGAGCTGAACAGGTGAGTTTCTGCTAAGTTTTGGGGGGGAAGGTAGACTTGGGGATCTCAAGATGGAGTTAAAGGTTTACTTTCTCCACTTTTGGAAAGGATGCCATCTTAGACATGCCTTCCCAAGCTCTGTAGATGTATCTGCCTGGTTTAAATAT